CAGACCAAGATACCAGGCCTCTGGGGAGCAAGGATTTATTTGTGTTTCCCAGGACAGGAAAAGGGAGAGAGTCCAGAAGGGCCAAGGTTCAAGGACACAACCAGGTTCAGAGTCTAGAGAACCCAGCTGCACTCCTACCACAGGGTCTGGCTGAAGAAGAACAGGCATGGGCAACTTTGTGCAAAATCAGTGTCTACTCCACACCCTTCATGAATTCCAGGAACTCTGTGGAAAGAGGACATGTATGTGTCAGCAGTAAGAGAGGAGCAAGGGGTGAACAAGAGGGGACCTGGTCCTCCCCATCCCCTCACCATCATAGTCGATTCGGCCGTCATTGTTCTTGTCACCATCCTTCATGAGCTCTTCAATGTCATCTTCTGTAATGGTCTCACCTGTGGCCTGGAGCATCATCTTCAGCTCATCTAAGTCAATGTAGCCATCAGCGTTTCTACAGGGAGGGCACGGGGCATCTCAGAGCCCAGGAGGATGTGGGGGGGGGGGGGGAGAAAAGGGAAGGGGGGGGGAGGAGGGGGAGGAGGACAGGGAGGAAGAGGGGAAGAAGGGGAGGAGAAGGATGGAGAGAAGGGGAAGGAGGAGATGGAAGCTGGGGAGGAGGAAGAAGAGAGACAGAGCCATCCCACACATACAACCCCAGGAGGCAAGGCAGGGACACTAGGAGATGGGCACTTCTGTGTCTCATCACATAGGATGGAAAACAAAGACAGCAGGATATCCAGCCTGGGATCTGAAACTACTCTTTCTTTCTTTCTTTCTTTCTTTCTTTCTTTCTTTCTTGTTTGTTTTTTTCTAGGCAGGGTTTTTCTGTGTAGTCCTGGCTGTCCTGGAACTCATTCTGTAGACCAGGTTGACCTCAAACTCAAAGATTCACTTGCTTCTGTCTCCTGAGTGCTGGGATTAAAGGTGTGGACCACCATTGCCCAGCTGAGACTACCCCTTTCTCCTCTCTGCTTGGGTCAGGGTCAGAAGCCAAGCAAGTTCTTACTTGTCAAACATGCGGAAGAGATCTGACAGCTCCTCCTCAGACTTCCCTTTGCTGTCATCCTTCATGCACCGAACCATCATGACAAGGAACTCATCGAAGTCCACTGTACCACTGCCTGTGGATAGGCAGCAGGGTTGGAGAGAGAGAATGGTTAGCATTCCGGCAGTGCCCCCCCCAACACATACATACACACACACCAACACTATAGGGCTAGTGTGCTCCTTTGCCCACTCTTCTTGTTTGAGATAGAACATTGCTCTGCAGTCCAAGCTGATCTGGAGCTCTCTATGTGGCCCAACCAGACTGGCTTCAAACTCACCGCAGTTCTACTGCCTCAGCCTTCTTGGGATTACAGTACGAGCTATTTGTCAAGTTTCTGGATGAGATAATTAAGGTATGGAGGGAAGGTAGCTCCTGGGCCAGTGAACCCAGGGTGCTACATGTGTGGAGCCTGGAGTGGGTGAAGGGACTCACCATCCTCATCTACTTCATCAATCATCTCCTGCAGCTCCTCCGGTGTGGGGTTCTGGCCCAGCATCCTCATCACCTTGCCCAGCTCCTTGGTGCTGATGCAGCCATCCTCCGCGCCCAGGACAAAGATATCAAAGGCAGCCTTGAATTCTGTGTCCGACATAGGGTGAGAAGATTGAATCAGCAGTCAGGACACTAGAAATCCAGGTCCCTGGGGCCACCAGCAAATTGTCCACCTCCCTTTGAGAGTTCTTTGAGGTCATAGCAAGGAGAACCCTCAGATTGTAGCCTCTAATTTGGGATTCTGAGAAGATGCCTGAAAAGGCATACCCACTTTCCCCCCACTTAGCGCTGCTGTCCCCTCAATGGGAGACACTTACCATTCTTCTGCTCTTCTGTCAACTGCTCTACCTAGAGAGGAAAAGGGAACTCAGGACCCAGACTCAGGCCTTAGCAGAGACTGCTGTAGAGACTGACCCATCTTACAGATGGGAAGAATGATAACAGAAGGAGGTATATATTCCCAGATTACAGACAAAGTCCTCAGTCCTCCTTTCCTGCCCCCAGAGCCCTAAGGTGACCCAGCTGGCTTCCCAGGGGCTGGGCTAGGGCCAAGGTGACAGGCAGGCACATCTCCCAGGACTAAGGTGTCCTGAGTAACAATACTCATTCCATGCCCTTTAGGTCATCCTAATGAAACTTAAACTGCATGGCCTGAGAGACAGCTGTCCCTCAGGTTGAGACAATAAAACTAACATGGGGGCGAGCAAAGCCACCCACTGTAACCTGACCAGGGTGGCCACTGAGCTATTTTTAAAGGGGGACAAAGTTAAACCTGGTGATTGTTCTGGGGACTTTGGTATGCAGGGGGTGGGGCAGTGTTATCTGCCCCCCTGGCCTATTGGTGCTGCCTCAGGAGCCAAAATTAGTCCCCAGCCCCGCCAGGCCTTGTATGGGCACTGGGTGGAGGGCCACCCCCCTACTCCAGCTCCACAGACTCCTACAAGATAGCCAAGGATACCATGGGAACCAGCTGCAGCCCTTCCCTGCTCACAAGTGGGGCCATATTCTGGGGGTTGGGAGAGAATTTCCTGGGAACAGCTGTTTCCTAGGATTTTCTTGTCCCTAGAGCAGGTATATCAAAAGCTCCTCAGTGTCCCCAGGAAATTGAAGAGTATTAGGGTCACTGTTCTCGAACCCGGACTCTTATCGCTCTCAACTCCTACCTGAGCCCTGAGCCTGCCAGGGACTGAGGTTTCAACAATCCGTTCCTTCTCCTCTACTTCTCCCCAGGCCTGTACCTTCAAAGCATCTTCCCCATCCCAGAACTCCAGTTCTCCAGCCCTCTCACAATTTCCTCCTACCTTCTAAAGCCTCCTCAGCCAGCTAAGGGGCTAGAGGAGGATGGCAGCTCTGAACATGTAAGAAGCGGATTGTGAGAAGTAGAAATTGGGGGCAGGTGGCGGGGAGCTGGAGACACACAGAGAGACAAGGACTCGGAGACACAGTGAAGAAGGGACAGAGATGGGAAGACTTGAGAAAGATCAAAGGATGTCTGAAGAATAGCCAAGACAGTGATGGCTAGACATTCAGAAGCAGAGGGAGACACAAGGTGCTGAAAGCTGAGACCACAACCTCTAGCCACATTGACAAACCCCAAAACTGCTACCTTTTCTGCATCCCCTCAAATGTCAGCTTGAGAGGCTGGGCTACAGGTGTGTGTGGGCCCTTTTGAGTCCTCCATCACTTCCCTAGGGTACCCCTGCCCCCCATTCTTAGCTGAGTGAACCCCCAATGGACCTACCCCCAACCCTTAAAGATTCATCTCTCACCGCAGCTTTGTAGATGTCATCCATGCTGGCGACAGCTCACAGAACAGGCTACTAGGGTTGCCAGCCAGCCAGCCCTCGGCCTGGGCTTAAATAGCCCTGCTTCTCTCCACCTCCTGCTGCATTCCCAGCCCAGCCCACCACTGCCTGTAATATCCTCCACCCCCTCCCTGGTCCCTGTAATCTCAGGCTGGCCAAAGTCCCTGTATCCTCTGCCTAGGGCCAGGCGCTATAAAGGACTGCAAGGACCAGGTCTCTTTCCATCTGTTCTCCAGATGCTCCCCCCCCCCCCCCGCCAGGGAAGTCTCAAGAAAAACTAATTCATAATTTATTGCTTTTATTTATGAGTGCATGTGGAAGTCAGAGGACAACTTACAGGAGTCATCTCTCTCTCTCTCTGTTCCCAGGACTAAACTCAAGTTTCATTCATATATGTATATATTTTTTTCTCATAATCTCAACAGCCTCATCTCACAGCCACAGGAAAAGTTTCCTGAATGAATAAAAACATGAGCCCAGGCCCACACAGGAAATGTGAAGTAGTGGGCTCCAGCTAGGCCGGGTCTCTAAAAACAGTTCAATCTTCTATGCAATCGGAGAGGTGGATGATAACACCCCTATTTTACAGATGAGGAAAGAAGAGATTCTCAGATGGACAGTGACTTGCCTGAGGTCAGGCTGACTGGAAAATCCCTACCTTATACTACATGCTCCCCCCCCACCCCCCACCCCCCCAGCAGAGATGGTAACATGCCAACAGAGACTGGAAGTGTAAATCCTGCCAAGAAAAGCCTCCTATGTAAGGTTCCGAGTATAATATGAAACTAGTAAGGGAAGAAGTCACTGGCCCACAAAGGAAAGGCTGGCCTGAAGCCCTTCAGCCAGATCCACTGTGCCTCAACCTTCCATCTTTCAAGGACAACAACCAATGTTCACTTTGGGCTTAAGTCAACAAGTGTCAACAAGTGTCCCTTAAGAACCCTATCTATATCAGGATTCTCTCTCTTCATCCTCCGGTTGGGTCATCTCTTCTCCAGCTAGGTCTTCCCCATGGTTAAAGATGTTTCCTCATTCAAGCACTGAAGCTCTTGTGTCCAGGGCCCAGTCTGTCTCCTCAACTTGAGCTCTTGCAGGATGTCATCTGGGAAACCAGATGGACAGCGCATATCCCTTCCTTCCACCTGCACGTTTGCTTCATCTACATTCTCCCTGAACACACCAGTGTGGCACCTAGCACACTGCTGGTGGAAAGCGGGCGGGGTGCTAGGCACTGCAGAATCACCACAATCAAGTCTCCACCAGTACACGTCACAACAAACCCCCTGAATGTCGGAGAGTCACTCTGGTTCTTGCTCCAGCTCTAAATCTAGTCTTACCTAAGTCTTATCTTCTTCATTTTGCTCTTGCTACACAGGGAATGAGCCTAACAGCCAGGCGAGACCCTATTAATGTCCCCCCTGGAAACGGAGGCCAGGCAAAGCAGACTGACTTTGGAGAATTCAGAAGGCCACTGGCCTCTGCCCTTCGCTGCCGTGGGCCCAGCGGACAATATAAACAACTGCCCGAGAGGACAGAAGCGGCACAGGTATACAAAAAGCAAATTAGGCAATGCTGCAGGAGCTGCGCATGCGTGCCACTGGCTGTGCTGTCAATTACGGGCGAGGGGCGGGGCGAGGACGCAAGAAAGCAGAGGGGCTAAGATGGCGGCGCGGGCGCGGGCGGGGGGCAGCGGGGGCCGGGGGGCGGTGGGACGCTGACCCCGCCCCCTGCTGCTGCCACTCTGCGCCGGGCGTCGGCAGTGGTGGAGCCCGCAACATGGCGGCTGCGACACTCAGCTTCGGCCCTGAGCGAGAGGCCGAGCCTGCCAAGGAGGCGCGCGTCGTGGGTTCTGAGCTCGTGGACACGTACACGGTGTGCTGGGGGGACGCGGGCATCCAAAGCGGCCATAGCGCCTGGAACCCGGAGTTCAACTCGGGGGCTTTGAGGAAGGGGTCTGGGTCGCACATTCGATGAGTGGGTGAAAGGTTCTGCGATAGCGACGAGGGAGCCCTAGAAATGGGGGATTCGGAGGAAGGGCTGGGTCGCATAGGTTCTGGAGGAGGTTCTAGGCGGGGCGCGGGAAGGGGGGTTGGGGAAAAGGGAGCGCGACCAGAAAAGGAGACTTGTGTTGGAGGAATCCGAGGGTGGGGGAGGAGGGGAGGATGAGATGGAGGCCCTCTAGATCCAGGCAAGGAAGAATGCCAGCCCAAGAGGCCTTCTAGGGAGTCTAGGAGGAAGGGGACTCGGAAGGGGGGGGTCTATGATCGGTGGGACCAAGAGAAAGGGCCAGAGATCCTCAGGTGGTGAAGGAGAGACGGTGGATCCCGATCTCCACCCCCACCAACCAAACACCAGTCGCAGTCCAGATCAGCCCCTCGGAGGGGGGGGGGGGGGGAGGTGCGGCGGAGTGGGGAGGTTTGGGAAAATGGGCCTTCGGGGTCTGGTGAGAACAGAATAAATCCCAGCCGTGCAGAAAGAGAAATTACCTCAGGGATGAAGTACAGGGCCTGCAAACCTTAGGGGACGTCATGGCTTAGGGAAGAGGGACACGAGCTTCTAACATATCCTTGTAGGCTACAAGGGAAACCGGACAAAAAAGGAGGGTAGTTACGGTGATGGCGTTGGAAGCCCTTTGGGCCTGTATAGGGTTGGAGGCTAGGCCTGTGAGCCTTGTGGGCAGGCTGCCAGGTGAAAACTTGTTCTGTGGTGGGGGCTCGCTGAGTACCTCCCTGTCCTTGTCCTTTGTTCCCAGGAGGGTGGACAGAGGTAAGGGCCTTGGGCCTGCCTTTGCCCCACCCCATTGACTCCCACCCTAATACCGGATCCCGAGGGCTATTCCTCTATCTAGCTCTTTCTCCCGCTTGCAAGGAAGAGAAGCCGTCACAGTAGAATTCTGGCTAGTGGCTCCTTTTAGAGCAACAGGCTGGCACTGGAGAAATGGCTGCTCCTGGGGGTCGGGGGAATCGGCTTCATTGACTGTTTTCACTAATCTCTCCGTGCTCCAGGCCGAGGAAGGGAAGCTAGGACCATGGGGCTTGATCTAGTTAAGGGATGAGGTCACTCACCTATGGCTAGCTGCAGTCAGTAGAGGCCCTTCCTATCGAGGCTTTGTCCTTCCCCTTAGTGTCAGGAGCCAAGGTAGTGATCCAAGCTGACCATCCTCATTTGTTACTGGATGTGATGCATTCATTGGATGTTATTAGCATACCTATCTTCTGTTCTGTGTTAGGCCTGCACAAATCCTTTTACACTTCATTGCTTTACTTGGTCCTTAAGCCCACCAGGTTTTAAAATGGAGGAATTGAAGCCCAGAGAGAGCTTAGGTTCCCAGTCACTTACATAAGTGGCACATAAGCCACACCCAGGAAATGGGATAGCCAGATTTTGAACCCAGGTTTTGATGGACAATTAACCACCAAAACTATATTGCCTTCTGTTAAGGCTGATTGAACCACTGCTACCCCTGGAAGCATGGTGGTGCCTTGCCTCCTGGTTCAGCTACAGAAGTCAAAACCACAGCCAGTGGAAGAGGTTGACTGAAGACCTACTTCTAGGATGGAATCAGGGTTCCTAAAAAGATGTATAGCAGAAACACTGGTCCTGCCATACTGGGCTCTGCTCTGCCTCTCTTGGAAGGGGCAGCCTTGTCTACAGTACAAGTTGGGTTTTCAACTATACAGAGATAGGAAGAAAAAATTCCTCCGACCCCCAGGTTCAAGGAGGTGTGTTTAGCTAGAAACTCTTTACCATTCCTTCCTGATAATGAAAACCAAAGCTTTTCTCCAGACCTCACAGGGCTGCAGAGGAGGCTGAGGAAGTCTGGGCACACATTGGGTATGGAAGGATGCCTGACTCTGGCTTTTTGGGGAATGGGGACTGAGTACCTTGTAGCTGTTGTAGGTTGAGGTTCTCTTGTCATAAAAAAATCATTTTTCCCTTTAGGTTTATGTCATACAGGTTACCGATGGCAACCATGAGTGGACGATCAAACACCGTTATAGTGATTTTCACGACCTACATGAAAAGGTAATCTAAAGAGCTGGGAACCTGTTTCTAGGGGATGTGGGGCTTATGGACCAAGTCTCCATTGTGCCACAGATTAATTTTAGGGCAAAACTGCCTCCACATCTATTGCTTGTAAGTTTTAAAAACATTTATTTATGGCCAGGGGTAATGGCACACATCTTTTATCCTAGCACTTGGGAGGCAAAGGCATATGAATTTCTGTGAGTTTAGGGCCAGCCTTGTCTACAGAGCGAGTTCCAGGGCTACACAGAACCCTGTCTTATAAAAAAAAAAGTGCATGTGTGTTTGTGTGTGTGTGTGTGTGTGTGTGTGTGTGTGTGGTTAGGTGAGAGGAAGATGTGCACGTGCCACATCCCATCTGTCAGGGTCAGAGATCAGTTTATGAGAACAGGTTCTCTTTCTACCATAGAAGCCCCAGGGATTAAACTAAGGTCATCTGGTTCCTTGACCAGATAAGCCATCTCATGAGCTCTATAACTCACTTTAGTAAGCCAGTTCCTTGATACAGCTGGCAAAAGAATTGATTGGTCCTAGGAGTTCAACCCTAATATGAGACAGACTATGGATAGTATATGTAAATTTTGAATTTAAAATTGTCATACATCTTGAATATAAGACAGTCTCCTGAGGAGGATACAAGTTTGAACTTGTCCCATGAAACATATTTTTATTCTCTAATAATCATATTGAAATTGTATTTTCCATTTGCTTTTAGAAAGAGCTGCTTTCTGTGGAGCATTTGTAGTGAGAGTGTCTTAAAGTTACAAACTCCTTTGATTTCCAAACTTCAGGGGCCATAAGCACTACTTCTCTGAATATCCTCAAAGACTAAAGATGGAATTCCTGACTTGGAATTATGTTAGTATTTCCAGTACTACTTGGATTCGAGGCCAGATTCCAGATGCATTAGCTGGAGCACCAATCCTGGCACTGCTACCAACCGTGGTTGCAGAAGATACAGTTGATAGTTGCAGCCTGGCTCTTACATAGATGCAGAGCTTCTAGGTCTGTGGTTGATGTGCTTGTTTTCCCTTACAGCTTGTTGCAGAGAGAAAAATTGACAAAAATCTCCTTCCACCCAAAAAGATAATTGGAAAGAACTCTAGAAGCTTGGTAGAGAAGAGGGAGAAAGATCTGGAGGTGTACCTCCAGACTCTCCTGATGACCTTCCCTGATGTGGCTCCCAGGGTTCTGGCCCACTTCCTGCATTTTCAGCTCTATGTAAGTTCCTTTGGGGCCCTCTGCTTTGCCTGTGAACTTACAGCCACCAAAGCTCAAGTCATAGAACTTGGCTTTAAGGATCCACAGACTGGACCCCGACCCTGAGGTCAGATGATAGAGGGCAGACGGTATAGACTCCCGTTTGTGTTGGTGGGTTACATTCAATTGAACTGGCCATGTATTTTCTCTCTACTACACGACATTTTACTTTGCAAAAAAAAAAAAAAGCCCATGTTTTTTTGTTTGTTTGTTTTTGTTTTGCTTTAGATTTATTTATTTATTTCTTATATGTGAGTACACTGTAGCTGTCTTCAGACATACCAGAAGAGGGCATCAGATCCCATTACAGATGGTTGTGAGTTACCGTGTGGTTGCTGGGAATTGAACTCAGGACCTCTGGAAGAGCAGTCAGTGCTCTTAACCACTGAGCCATTTCTCTAGCCATAGCCCATGGTTTTTAAGGTAGATTTTCCTCAGATGGGTGAGCATGGGGTAGAAATGTGTAATGTCTGGCATACACTTATTATTGTCATGTGGGCTCAGACTCAACACCAACACATTAACAATGGAGTTATTCACTCTTTCCTACTTTTAAGATTATTTTATTTATGTATGGGATGTGTACATGTCAAGTAAATATGTAAACCAGAAGAGGACGTTGGGTTCCCTGGAGTTTGAGTTACAGGTGGGTCCAGGCCATCTAAGGAGCCAAATTTGAATATATATATATATATATATTAACTGCTGAACCATTTCTTCAGCCTGGACTTAGTTATTCTTGATTAAAGAATTGCTGTCCTGGGACTCAAGGCAGACATCCCCACTGGCAGTGTACTGAAGCTGAGAGAAGCATCATAGAGCAGGTCTGCTCTCTCTGCCGGGTAGAGCATGATATGCCACTGCTGACAGAGTAAATCATGCTGAGCAGATGCTTTATCAGTTTGTGACTGTCCAGAGCTACAGAGCAAGACGATGTCTCAAAAATGGTAAGAAGTAAGACATCATTTAGTTGTGAGACCTTAGGAAGGGTAGTTTAGCAAGCAATGTGAAACAAGAATAACAAAAGCTACTAGCAGTCTCCTTCTGGGAGCTGATTCTCAGGAAAGATAGGACAACTGTAAAGGACTCGCGAGCAAAGGTAGTCATGCCGGACACTGAGGACAGTACGGAGAGCACTGGGAGGAAACTTCTTTAAAAAAAAATCAAGCCAAGCCAGGTGTGATGGGACAGACATACCTGCAGTTCTAGCATTTTCCAGACTATACTTGGAAGCCAGCCTGGGCTACACACTTCAAGACTTGTCTTGAGAATCCAAACAAGGCTGGGCATAGTAGCATGTACCCTTTATCCCAGCAGGTAGAAGCAGGCAAATCTCTTAAGTTTGAGATTTGCCAGGGCCACATAATGAGAATCTTGTCTCCAGTCAAACAAACAGAACAACAAAAATGTGGTCAGCCATGCAACTGGACATTATATTGATGGTATAGCTGAGGTCCCATTGTCATGGGAAAATAAGTATGTAAGAACAAGTCCTAGCCATTCAGGCACATGCCTTTGGTCCCAGCACTTGCTAGGCAGAGACAGATGGATCTCTGTTTAAAGCCAGCCTGGTCTACACAGCAAGCTCTAAGCAAGCCAAGGTTACTTAATGACACTCTGTCTCAACCCCTTCCCCACCCCAAAAAATCCATAAAAGAACAGGTTGTAGAACAGTACATAGACTAGGGTTCTTGTTTTATAAGAAAAGGGGTCACATAGAAGTCGTAGTCTATGAAAAACTACATGTAGCAGTTTTCTTTGAGAGATTTTCTGATAACATTTAATATTTAATTATTTTCCCCTTAAATAATGAAGATGGTCTTGTCTTATAGGAAGTAGCTTCTTTAAAATAAATCTTTTTTGAAGTTGCAAAGTAAGACTCGTGGGTCTCGTTTGGTGATTTGGGATGTGCTGATGTGGCTAGTGTCCTGCCACTGAACTTGAAGGGACCATGCAGTTAGAGTGCTTGTATACCAGCTCCAGTTGTAAATGTTTTTTTTTTCTTTGTGTTAGAAAAAATTCTCCCATGCTATGTGAGTCTTTTAAATAAACGTCACAAAACTTCCAATCTCCACTGAAGAATGAAACCTGATAAACATCTCTTTGAAAGTCTGGTTTGTTGCTTAAGTCTGTGTCTTTGGGAAGAGATTTTCCTGGCTGCTTCAGGTTTGCCCAACTCTGAGCTGGGAAAGGCCTGGAATGTTCTTTTTAGTTGGACTTTCCTGCGATAGTCTGGGGCCAGCCTAACTCTAAGTTTTTCTGGTTTAAGCATGGCCTCCAAGCTTTTGAACATACTTGACATTGTTAATGTCAAACATACATCAGTCATATAAATCTGAGGATTTTAAAAGTAATAAACCTGCCATTGAATGAATACAGGGGTTCTCAGCTATGGCACTGCTGTCATTCTGAACTGTGAGGGACTGACCTGTGCTGTTTAGTAGCACCCCTGGCCTCTGTCCACCCGAAGCCATTTTCCTTCCCAGTTCCGTCAACTACAACTCTATGCTCTGGAGGAAACAACACCCATCTTCTGGGGGGACGCTGAGAGAGATAGAGGGTGGGGCAAAAACCATGCAGTTGAGAATCACTGGGTTAGCTCTCCATTTAAAAATAAATTTGAGGGCGGTGGTGGCGCACGCCTTTAATCCCAGCACTTGGGAGGCAGAGGCAGGCGGATTTCTGAGTTCGAGAGTTCGAGGCTAGCCTGGTCTACAGAGTGAGTTCTAGGACAGCCAGGACTACACAGAGAAACCCTGTCTTGAAAAAACCAAAAAAAAAAAAAAAAATTAAAAAATTAAAAAATAAATTTGAACCCACACAGTGTAATAGTAGTCAGCTTTTTTTTTGCAGTTGAGAGGCTCTCTAGGGAATCTTTTCTTAGCCAGTATCTTCCTCAGAGTTGTTCCTGATGTGTCTTGTGTGTGCAGACACTGGATGAGGCAGATGGACACGGAAATCTCTATTTGGCCATGGAGTGAACTATTTACATTTTATTTTGTTAAGACAGGCTCTCACTATATAGACATAGTTGGCATAAGATTTGCTCTGTAGCCCAGGGTGGCCTTGAATTTGTAGTGATCCTCCTGCCTTCCTCCTGAGAACTGCAATTACAGTATATGCCAACATACCTGGCCTTTTGGAGGTGGGGGGTATTTGTTTCAAGAAGGGTTTCTCAGTGCTTTTTTTTTTTGGGGGGGGTTTGATTTTTCGAGACAGGGTTTCTCTGTATAGCCCTGGCTGTCCTGGAACTCACTCTGTAGACCAGGCTAGCCTCGAACTCTCAAACTCAGAAATCCGCCTGCCTCTGCCTCCCAAGTGCTGGGATTAAAGGCGTGCGCCACCACCGCCCGGCTCAAGAAGGGTTTCTCTGTGTAGCCCTGGCTTTCCTGGAAACTCACTTTGTAGATTAATCTGGCCTCAAACTCAGAGATCTACCTGCCTTTGCCTCTCAAGTGCTGGGATTAAGGGTGTGGCATGCCCAGCTCCATACCTGGCTTTTTTGTTGTTTTCTCTTTGTTTAGGAGAATTACTTTTAGATTGAGATATCATTCACATACTATAAAGTTTACCGTTAGTATACAATTCAGTAGTTTCTAGTTGGTTCACAGAGTTGTGAAATGAATACCACTGTCTTAATTCCAAAACACTTAACCCAAGCTGTATCTAGGAGCAGTAACTGTTCCTTTTTTTCCTCCTACCCTTGACAGTTGCTACCTTGCTTTCTGTCCCTGAGTGTGCTTGTTCTCAGTGGTTCATACAACATGTAGCTACTTAATTTATTTCCAGGGTTGATTCATGTTGTAGCATTAAACTTTTAGTCCTTTTATAATTAATATATTCTTCAGTTACACATTTTATCTGTGACTTTTAGTTCCATGGTTTCTATTGCTTATTGACAACCATGGTTTGAAAATGGAAAGTGTAGACTCCAGAAGTTTCATTCTTCATGAGTTTTAAAGTATGTTCCATTCTGAGTGGTGTGGTGAAATCAATCGTTCACAGGATTCGGCACCTTCTCTGGTGTTTCCACGATATGCATGCATCACTTAGTAGCCATCTCAGTTGTCAGATCCCGTGGTACAGTATCACAGTGCCATGCCCAGGTAACTGGCTATGTGAAAATAGCCCAGAGCACCTGAGCCATGATCCTGGAGGCTATTCAGATGTGCCAAAATAGAGCCAAGAAGTGCTTTCAGTAAGTGGAATGGTAAAAGAAAAAGATACTTTGAGAGACCACATTATATAATTTTCATTACAACATTATTTTAATAATTTTATTTTAGATTATTAATGTTTGACTCTGCCTTAGATTAGACTTTTATTGTGTGTTTTTTGTAGGAAAGAATGCAATATATGAGCTGTTGTGAGCATCTGTGGGTTTTAGAGCATGCCCCCTGTGGGTAAGGAGGACTGCTACACCATATTGTGTTTTTCATTCACCATCCCCTTATGTAAGGTGATGAATATATTGTAAGGCCCCCAGTAAAGAACTAAAAACAAGGCTAATGCAAGTCCTACCTATGCATATGCAAATCTTTACTACATATGCAGATCCATTGTTTTTCTGTCTTAGGATAGTACTTATCATGTATTCTAACCATAGCTTTTATAGTTTGAAGGATCACAGCGAAACTAGCAGGAATATCCTCTTCACAATGTCCTGGGCTGAAGATTTGTTTTTAGTGTAGATCTTAACAACTAATTTATCTTCTTATCAAATTAGAAACTTTTCATGATTTGTCATATGGAGTCGCTGTAAGACTTGTCTTTGTCCATCTGAATTCCTGCATGCACAGACTATTCTAAAATCAAGTAAGAGTTACTCACACACACTTGTCTGTACTGTGGTGGCCATGGTGGCTGCTAAGGAACAGTAAGTGATGATATGTTAAGTAGATATGCTGGACAAGGCTGACTCGTGTTCCAGGGAAGCACAGTGAGGCAGCTGGAGGTTTTGT